ACCCTCCGCCTCCCTCTCCTGCCTCCCCCGCCACCTGCCGCAGGTCCTGCCCGCCAGCAGCAGCGCCCCGAAGTACAAGTTTGTAGTGCCCAACGAGTACGTGTACAAGTTCATGAAGCACCTGGTGGAGCGCCCCTTCCACATGCGGGACATGGGCGGCAAGCTCTGGGACTGCGTGCTCATCCAGCGCAAGAACAAGGCGCGCGGCGGCAGGCGTGCGGCGGCGGGCAGAGCCTGGGAGGCAGGCCATCACTTCGGGCCGGCTGGCCGGGCAGCCGGGCGCACGCTCCGGCGCGCCGCCCTCTGGTGCATGCGGGCTGCGTTGGCACGGTCGAGCGTCCCCGGCCTGCTTGCTCGCTCCACAGCCGGGTGCGCTGCTGTTCCGGCCTGCCTCTCCCTCCCTCACACCCCCCACCTGTACCGCCTCGCGTGCAGGAGAAGTACGAGTACATGATCCAGGGGTGGCGCCGCTTTGGGGAGGCGTGCGGCGTGCAGGAGGGCGACACGGTGACGATAGAGATGGTGGATGACACGGTGCTGCAGCTGACGCTGGAGCACACGGGGGCCCCCTCCGCCAAGAAGCGGCGCAAGGGGTCGGCGGCGGCGCCGCAGCTGCCCATGCCCTCGGCGCCCGCCAGCGCGGGCGGCGGCGCCGGCCCCCCGCCGGCGTTTGGCGGCGGCGAGGCGCAGCAGCGCGCGCAGCTGCTGGCCCTGCAGGAGCAGCAGGAGCAGCAGGAGCAGCGGGACGCGGGGCTGCTGGCGGCGCAGGGGATGATGCAGGCGGCGGGGCGGGGGCCGCAGCAGGGCGGCATGCAGCAGGGGGGCATGTCCCTGGCGCAGCAGGCGCAGCAGATGGGCTACGGCGGCGGCGGCGCCCTGGGCGACGCGCCCGGCAGCGGCGGCACCCCCCAGGGCCTGCTGGCTCTCATCCAGCAGCAGCACCAGCAGGCGGCGCAGCAGGCGGCGCAGCAGCAGGCGGCGGCGCAGCAGCAGCAGGCGCAGCAGGCCCAGCAGGCGGCGCAGCAGCAGATGGGCATGATGGGCGGCGGCGGCGGCGGCGGCGGCCCCGGCGGCGGCGCGCCGCTGACGCCCCCCAGCCTGTCCGCCCACCTGGCCAACGGGCTGACGGGGCCGCTGGGGCAGCTGGCGGGCAGCGCCATCAACGAGGCGCAGCTGGCCGACCTCACAGCCGTGATCAGCCACCTGGAGAAGCGGCAGCGGGTGGGCGAGGGCCCCGCCGGCGGCGGCGGCGGCGGCGGCGGCGGCGCGGGCGCCATCCAGCTGCTCAGCGACGTGGCCGACCTGGACAAGCTGATGCAGGAGAACATGGGGCTGCGGGAGGAGCTGCGCATGACGCAGGCCAAGGTGCAGGGGCAGGGGGCTGGGTGTGTGGTGTGTGGTGGTGTGCGCTGGGTGGGTGATGGGCGTGTGGCCTGGCGGGCTGCTGCTCGGAGCGAGCGAGCGTGGCCCGGGCTGCTGTGGCCTGCCTACACCCCGCCCTCCCAGCTCCTCCCTCCTGCATCCATGCTGTGCCCCCACACCGACCCTGCCCACCCCTGTCGACTTCCCCCGCAGATTGCCACCCTGGAGACGGGCGTGCTGAACATCAAGTCTGTGCTGACCCGCAACACAGACCCGGGCCTCATCGCCATGACCGGCGTCATCAACCTGCTGGTGAGGGCCCCCCGCACACCCTGGCCTGGCCTTGGATGCCTGGACATGGCTGCCTGGACATGGCTGCCCCGGGGCTGGGCTGCGCCTGGTCGCTCCTGGCCGGTGGCTCGTCAGCCGCTGCCAGCTGTCCCCGTGCACCCGCGCTCACTCCAGCGCTGCCTGCCCTGTCTTCTCACCCCCCTCCCTCTCCCCTGCAGAACCAAATGGAGTCGCCCGACTTTTTGCCCGAGCTGGGCACCATTGGGCGCATGACGCTGACGGGGCTGTGCAGCGAGGTGCGGCGCCACCTCAACGGCGTGCTGCGCATGGTGTGGATCCTGCGCTCCCTGCCCGACGACGTGCAGCAGCACAACATCGGCAGCGCGCCCACCAACAGCGGCGGAGGGCCGTGAGCGGCGGCGCCGGCAGCCCAGCACCGCGCCCATCCAACCGGCGCACCCCTTGACACTGCTCATTAGGAACACTGCCAACCCGCAGCGGGCCGTGCAGCCTGTTGAACGTATGAACTCCCCCGCTCCTTTACAGCCTGTGCCTTGCCATTGCACGCTCCCGTGCTCGAATATGCCATGTGCCATGTGTCTGCTCGACTCCCCAGCCCACAATGACAGAAGGACCTCTCTCTTTAGCCCCATGCGCACCGCTCATGCGCGTGTGGCCGCCCTCCATCCCCGTTGTTCTGCCATTGTGGCTGGTGCGGCATGCAGATGCCATCCCTATTGCTTGTCGAATTCATCCGCTCCTTATCCACTGGGTTTTGCTTTGGCACTGCCCCTGTACATGCTTGCCACACCTGCAACGGGCCTATCAATCCTTACAGGTTCGCGAGGACCAGGTACAGATAGCGAGCAGGAGAGGAGAGTAGCAAGCAGAAAGGAAGTGTGGGGACAGATAGATGTCACAAGCCTGCGCTACATTCCTAGCGCCTCCTTTCTTCCCCGTGCCTTGAGAAACTTGTTATTGGCTCTGTCGCACACCTCGCAACTGAGTCGACACTTCTCATGCATGAAACCGGGGTTAGATTCGCCTGCGATGCAGGTGCACCACCGGGCGTGTGGTTGGGGCCTGCCTGGCGTGTGGTGCGCCGTGCGCTAGCCTGGCTGGCGAGGAGGGCCTCAGCACAGTTCGCAGGACTTTTTGCAATTGCTCTTCATGAACGCGGGATTGTTCTGGCCTGCACCAGAACACGCCACACACAAACAAACACGCCCACCTCGCTGTAACGCACAGGCAGAGTTGCACCAGCGGGCAGCAGAGCGCTAGACAGGCCGCACCCATCCCCCTGCCCATCCACCCCTGACAAAAGGAGCTGCTCAGCCTCCCAACTCTGGCAGCAGCGGCAAGCGGCACAGCCCAGCATTGTACTCACATTCGCCCATGACGGCCCACTCCTCGCATTTCTCATTCTCGTCTTTGCATCCCTTGGCGCCGCCGGGCTGGAAGGCACCCACATGGATCCACCTGCAGGCAGCGCAGTGTGGCGGCCACGGTGTGGCGCACAAGTGAGCCCGCTGGAGCTGCTGCAGGGCCGACAGTGCTGGGCTTGCTCTGCTGGGCTGGGCTCTGCTGGCACGCCCCCGCAGGGCAGCCCACGGCCTGCTGCTGTGCTGGCCCGCCAGCGAACCAAGGAACCCAGCTCTCCCCTTCCACCTCCACCCCCACACCCACACCCCCACACCCACCCACCGCGTGGCGCTCCACTTCTCTCCTGCCAGCGTGGGGCAGGAGCCGTGTGTGGAGGCCTGGTCCTCCTCGCCGTTGGGCTTGAGGCTGTAGAACAGCAGCGCGCTGCCCTTCACCGCCTTCACCGCCAGCCCCTTGCGCGCGCACTCGCTCCACCCCTCGCCCTCCACCTGCACACCGCGGCGCAGCAGAGGCGGGGTGCGGGTTGGGCGCGGCGGGCCGCGGGGGAGCAAAACCATGCCAGCCCCACACACGCCGCGGCACTGCCTGCGCTGCCATGCCCCTCTCCTTCTACTCCGCCATCACTGCTCCTGCTCCCTGCGCCCCGCATCCCCGCCTGCCCCCCCACCTTCTTCTCGGCGTAGGGGAACACCGTCTCGCCGCCCTCCTCGGGCGTGGACAGGTACATGAGTATGGTGGCCACACGCTGCCCGCCATTCTCGGTGCGAGAGTTGTATCTGCGGCGGGATTGGCAGGGGCAGACGCAGGGGCAGCAGGGGTGGGACAGGGGAGGTGAGGGCGAGCGGGGTGCGGGAGGCGGGGTGCGGCAGCGAACAGGGTGCTGTACCCCCTCCAGCAGGAGGTGCGGCGGATGCCTGCCATGACCGGTCCGCCCCCTTCCTCCAAACAAGGAAGCAACCGCCGCAGCACGCACCGCAACACATGCACACACAGCACACACAGCACAGCACAGCACAGCGCAGCGGGCCTGCCCCCCACCCCCCGGGCCTCACTTGTCGTGGAAGTAGTCGGTGTGCGGCTCGTACTTCTGTCCATCCACGTACTTCAGGATCTGGATCGCCTCGCCGTTCTCTGCGGGGGCGGGGCAGGCGGCGGGGGCCAGGCTCCTGGGCGGCCACCCTCCAAACCAAGCCGCTGACCCACAGCTCCCACCCACGGCACGCCACAGCATGCTGCATGCCATCTCCCCAGCTCCGTACCGGTCCCAGCCCCGGCGCTGGGCTGCGCTGGGCCCACCCTCCCCGGCCCCGCTCACCCTCCGGGATCATGGTGACCAGGGAGATGCGCTTCTCGATGGCGCGCACCACCTCGTCCTCGCCGCGCGCCAGGAAGGTCCCGCTGGAGGTGCGCACCGTGGAGTCCATAGACTTGCCCGTCTTGTTGTCCACCACCGTCGACTTGGTCAGCCGCTTGCGGGCCAGCTCCTTCAGGTGCTCGCACTCCTCATCCGACAAAAAGTTGTGGTACACAAAGGCGCGCGGCCGCCACGACACCTGCTCCACCTTGCCGCGCCACAGCTCCTGCGGCGGGCGCGGGGCGAGGTGGAGCGGGCGGGCTGGGCAGGGGGCAGGGTGGGCGCGGGGCGAGGTGGTGCAGCAGCGCCATCCAGGCATGCGCCTGGGCATGCGGCAGGCGGGAAAGCAGTTGAGTTTGGGGCCTGCCGCGGCCTGCGAGCGCGCCCCTGCCAGGGTGCAAGGGGGTGCGTGTCGCCGCTCCCGCCCCCGGCACCAGACGCCGGCCTGGGGCCCCTCCCCGCCCCCGCCGCCCCGAACCCGATCCTTGGTGCCTCACCTTGCCTAGCTCGCCAAACCCAACCGTGTCCCCCTTCGTCAAGTCGCCGGGCAGCTCCCCTCGCCACCCGGGGAAGCGGTCTGTGTCTTCTATGTACTTGTCCAGCGCCAGGGCAGCCGGCGCGAGCAGCAGCGCCAGTGCCAAGGCGCGGGACCACCGCATCGCGAGTTTTGCTGCAGGGACGCGATCGAGGGAATGGCCGTGAGCAGGGCACGTGTCTCCTGGCTGCGCTTGAAAACTGAGATTATGCACGCCTGGGCAGTGCTCTGAGTGAGTGGGAGTTGGGCCAGGGCGGTGCCGTCACCTCCTGGAAGTACAATGTAGGTACATTTTTTCCAAGGAGTCTCAGGGGACGCTCGAAGGCTTTCCGAGCTGCCATGACGCCCTGCGGAACCATGGAGCGGCCTGGGAAGTGATCTGGACGCGGCCGTGTCGGGAGCAATGGCAAGGTCGGTTTCTCGCGCCGCTGCACCCCTCCTGGCCGACGCAGCAGCGCTTGGGCGGGTGCATGTGGCGGTCGGCACCCTGCCGGGACGCCTGAAGCCGTCGGTTGGGCTGTCGAGGCGGGGGCGGGGGCGCAGCTTGGAGGCGCTTAGGAGCGCAGGCGCCAGCGCCGCAACCATTCCCCTCAGCAGCTCTTTCATGTTGCGACAGCGCCAAGGAGGCTCCGAGCTCATTGGTACTTGCACGCCGCGCTGCAGCAGCCTGCCCGGTGGGCCCACGCCAGGCCGGCTCGTCATGCCGTCTTTGTGTGTGCGCCGGCTTGCCCTCGGCTGCAGGAACAGCAGCCTACCTTCCTGTGCCCTGTGCACCGAGACGCTGGGCACCTATGGCGGTAAGACTTCCGCCTGGACCTGACAAATGAAGAGAACGCTGGGGAGAGGGTCCAAGGTCTCGAGCCGAACGCCCCGCGCTCTCACTCCGCGCTCCTGCTTCCCTGCTGGCTGCTGCTCGCAGGGCCCACCACCCTGCCCTGTGGGCACAACCTGTGCGTGCACTGCACGGCCTACCTGCAGCAGCGGCAGGCGCAGTGCCCGCTGTGCCGCGCCGAATTCCCGCAGGACATGCCGCTGGTGAGCTCATGGAGCAGGGCGGGGGGCGGGAGCCAGGCGGCGCGGCTAGCTCAATGCTCTCGTTGGGGCGGCGTGCCGCCACCGCCCAGCCACTCCCCAGCCACTGCCCAGCCGCTCCCCAGTCCCTATCTCCCCTCACCCTCCACCTGCGCCCTGGCCCACGCCCAGGCCGTCAACTGCGAGCTGCGAGAGCTGATGCGCATGGCGCAGGCGCTGACCGCCACGCCGGTGGAGGACGACTGGCAGGCGGTTCACTCCACGGCCAGGGTGCGCCGCCTGGGGGTGCGCCGCCTGCGGGTGCCGCCGACGGGCACCCGCCATGGCCGCGGGCGCCAGACCCCTGCCTGCCTCCTGCCGCGCACCCGGGCGCTGCCTGCCCAAGCCGCCCTGCACAGCCCACCCTGCCTGCGCCCTCCCTCCCTGCCTCCCCTCCCTGCCTGTGGCGGTGCAGGTGGACGTGGGTGCCTGCAAGCACAGCAGTAGCGGCGGCGGCGGCGGCTGCGCGCCCGCCCACGTGGGCGTGCTGGATGTGATGGATGGCAGCGGCAGCGTGATGGAGCTGGACCCCCAGCCCTGGGAGCCAGACTCCTCCTCGGCCACGTGCAGGTGAGGGAGCGGGATTGGGGAGGAAGGGAGGGTGGGTGGAAGGGGAGGAAGGGAGGTGGGGTGTGAATGATGGAGGTGCCGTGCTGGCTGCTCCGCGCTGACATCCTCGGCGCCCGCTGGCCGCGCGTGTGCCGCAGGGGCCCCGGGTGCAACAAGCCCTTCTCCTTCCTGCTGCGCCCGCGCCACCATTGCCGCTCCTGCGGCCAGCTCTTCTGCGGCGCCTGCGCCGCCGACCGCCTGCTACTGCCGCCCAAGTTCCAGCTGGCTGAGCCGCAGCGCGTGTGCGCCGCCTGCCGCGCCCTCCTCCTGCCCATCCAGCCGCTGCTGGCGGGCAGCATCGCGCCCGCGGTGCGCCAGCCGGTGCACGACGTGTACGACTACTCCGCCCTGCGCTCCCTCCTCAACCCGCCCCTCACCTCGCGCCTCGACACAGACATCTACACAGCCACCAACATCGTACGCGCCTTCAGGAAGGGTGAGCCCCCGCGGGCAGGGCGCCAGGCACGAGGCACGGCGCGCCGCGGGCGCCAGCAGGCATGCCTCTGTACCGCTCCCCAGGACCCCGGGCCTGGCCGGCGCCTCGCTGGCTGTTGTGTGTGGCCGCCGCGCCACTGACTCCCGTCCGGGCCCCGCCCCCGCCCACCCCCTGTCGCCGCCTGCAGTGGGCAGCCTGCCCTCCGAGGCCTCCATCCCCCCCGCCATCCTGCGTGGCTGCGCGGGGCTGGCCATCCTGTCTGTGGCGCGCGCGGGGGCGGGCTGGTCGTTCAGCGTCGGTAGCGGGCTGGTGGTGGCGCGCGCGCCCGGCGGCGGCTGGTCCCCGCCCAGCGCCGTGCTCAGCCTGGCCTCCGCAGTGGGCTGGCAGGTGGGGGTGGAGGTGCGGGACCTGGTGCTGGTGCTGCGCACCCGCTCCGCCCTCTCCGCCTTCTGCGCCGCGCAGCTGGGCGTGGGCGGCAGCGTGAGCCTGGCGGCGGGCCCGCTGGGGCGCGCCGCCTCCGCCACCGCGCTCGCAAACCTGGCGGGCGGCGCCCTGGTGTACAGCTACAGCTCCACGCGCGGCGCGTTTGCGGGGGTGGCGCTGGAGGGAAGCCTGCTGGCCACGCGGGACTCGCTCAACCAGGTGGGGAGGGCTGGTGCTGGGGGGGCTGGTGCTGGGTGGTACCAGCGTGTCGGCCATGCCTGCCGCCCTGGAGCCCGCCCCACAGCCTGGCCCTGCCCCCATCCCGACCCTGCCGTGTTCCTCCCACCCCCGCCCCCCGCCAACGCAGCAATTCTATGGCCGCAAGGTGACGGCGCGCCAGCTGCTGCTGTCGGGCGGCGTGCCGCCGCCGCCCGCCGCCGCCGCGCTGTATGCCACGCTGGATGAGCTGCTGGAGCAGGCAGGCGGGGCGGCGCCGCCGCCGCAGTTCCTGTCCGCCGCGGCGGGCGAGGAGCGGGGCGAGGAGCCACCGCCCGCCACGGCCGCGTCGGCGCCGCCGCTGCTGATGGCTCACGCCGCTGCGGTGGAGAGCGAGGAGGAGGAGGAGTGGGAGGCCGAGGAGCTGCCCAGCGCCCCGCAGCACCAGTGGGGGCGGCAGGGCGGCCTGGGGGAGTCGCCGCGGGGGCGCTCGCTGTACCCGGCACTGGTGGCTTGCGACGACCCCCACCCCTATGGCAGCCTGTTTGACTGAGCCGGCCCCGCCCGCCAGCCAGCCAGCCAGCCGGGCAGGCAGCGACGTCCCTGTATATATTACCAGTACCCTGCGGCAGCGGGCCGCAGCAGCCGCATCCAGCGGCAGCGGCAGCAGCTGCAGCAGTGCCCCACGCAAGCGCAGCTGCGCAGCTCATGTGCCCCTATGTGCCTCTCTCTCTCCCTCTCCCTGCCTGTGCCTCCTGTACCATCGCGAGGGCGTGGGAGCCTGCTGCTCCCAAGTTTTTCTCCAGTCATCCTCTTCATCGGTCTGCTTCTGCTACCCAGCCACACACACACCTCTGTCGCTGACCTCATTCCTGCACCTGCATCTGCACCACTTCTCAGCGCAGCGCAGGGCTGTACACACATGTTTTTGATGCCCCCAGCCAACCCTACTCACTGCACCTCTCCAACAACGGGCAAGCCTTGTTCAAGCAAACACGAGTGTAATGGGCGCTGGGAGTGGCAACAAGTAGGGGGATATGAGATCAAATGAGTGCTGCTGCCGCCGTACGAAATGGCGCTCAGCTGGCGCTGGGCTGCTGCTGTTGCTGCTGCTGCGCCTGCGCCTGCTGCTGGGCGGCGGCCTGCTGGGCGGCGCCGCCCATGGTGCTGGGGTGGCCCGTCACCGGGCAGGGCAGCCCATACTCCGCAAAGTGCTGGTAGATCCACATCTTGGCTCGGTCCAGCGCCGCGCCGGGCGAGTCCAGCGCTGGCCGCACGCGGATGTCAAAGGCCTCGGGGGAGCCTGGGCGGGGGGCAGGCACACCGGTGATGGGAGTTGGCATGGGTGGCGCTGTTGTTTGTGGGGGGCGGGGTGGGGGCACTGAGGCCCCAGGACGGCCAGCACGCTGCCGAGCACGCTGTGCGCCCCCGCCGCCTCCTGCACAGCCTCTCCCGGGCACGCCACGTCACCGCCACGCGTGCCACAGGGCACCATTGCTGCGCACCCCAGCCTCACCCACCCGCCTTGTCGTCGTCAAAGTAAAAGTCGATGACGTAGCGCACCTCCCGCCCGCACCGGTCCACGTACCAGTCGTGGCGGTCAAAGGGCAGCGGCCCGCCCAGCCAGGAGCTGAGCCGCGCCAGCGGCGACAGCTCGTCGGGGCGGCCGCGGAAGCGCAGCAGGGTGGGCATGCCGCACTCGCTGTAGTGCAGGGACTCCCAGCGCGCCACCTGCGGCGCGCGGTTGTGTGGGGGAGGCCGGCATCTCGGGGCCGCGCAATGCAAGACGTGGGAGGTGTGCTGGCTGCTTGGGCGGCCCGGCCGGCCGGGGAGGCGAGCAGGAGGCGAGTGGGCACGGGCCCGCAGCGGCGGCGCATGCCCAGCTCAGCACCTCCCTTCCCTCCGCCTGTCCCCACCTGCTGCCACGTCAGTTCGTTCATGGTGTTGTGCGTGAACACCACTGCCTCCATGTCGTCCTCGCTCACGTCGTCGCCCTTGCCCTTGCGCCTCAGGGCTGCAGGGGGGGAGCGGCGCAGATGGTGCATCAGGAGGCGAGGCAGCAGTTGGGGTGAGCGCTTGGGGTGGCTAGGTGGGCAGCAGCAGCCGGGTAGGGGCCAGCAGTGATGCACAGCTGCAGGCACATTCATTGCAAGACGGACTTGCTGCGCAGGCTGCAGCAGGCGGCAGGGGCCAGCGCAGGGGCAGGCGCACCGTTGAAAAACATCTGCGGCGAGGGGTAGGCCCAGGTGCTGTCGGTGCCTCCCTTGGGGATGTTGGACTGCATGCGGTCGGTGGACAGCAGCTTGCGCTGGCCGGGGCAGGGCTGCTGGTTGGGCTCCTGCGGCATCATGTTGCTGGGGTCCAGCACGTCCTGCCCAGCCAGCGGGCCGCTGCCGCCGCCTGCAGCCGCCGCCGGGTCGTTGATGCGCTGGTTGTACACGTTGTACACCGCGGGGTTGCGGTACACCTGCTGCCGGAACTCGGCGGGCACGGGGCACTCGGCGGCCGCCGCTGCCGCGGCCGACACGCCCGCTGGCGGCGCGCCGCCGCCGCCGCTGGTGCTGGCTGTCGCCGCAGCAGGCGCCGCCGCAGCATTGGCCTCCCTGCTGGCCATGTTGCCCATGCCGCTGCTCCTGAGCCCCTGCTAGTGGCTGGTGAGTGACTAAGAAGCGTCAGGATGGAGCACAGTAGGGTTGGGCTGCTGCCGGCGCTGGATAGTGTGGCACGCCAGCAGAGGAGGGGGATAGCGCACTGCTGGGGCGTCTAGGCCACAATTTTCGCTCATGCACAGTACAGCAGAGGACACCTGTACTGCAGCTGGGCCTGGGGCTCCTCTAGGCGCACAGCCAGCCCTCCACCGGTGCCGAGCACGTCTGTGGGTCTGACTGGGTCGCCGTAGACCCCTGAGCGGCCCGGAAGGTGTGATCGCACACTTGAAACTATGCCACCCGCTGGAGACGCAGAGGAATACCCCGATGAGGTCGAAGAGAGGTGTGGGCGCGGTCCAGAGGGCAGCCCAGTCGGGAGGCCGCCAGCCTGGGCCTCCCAAAATCACGCCCATCACTAGCTGGGACTCGAGGCGCCCACACACCTACCCCTGAGCGCGTGCAACGCTGCCTTGAGCGATGGGGCATGGGCGGGGTTGGGCAGCAAAGGCGGGGGCGCTCGCAGCCCACCCGCCGCCACCCGCCGCCTCTGTCCCCTTGCACGCACGCAGGCTGGTGAATGAGGAGTACAAGGTCTGGAAGAAGAACACCCCATTCCTCTATGGTGCGCCATGGGACGCCCGGATTCGGGCTGAGGCTGCAGCCATCTGCACTTCTGACCTAGCGTTGCGTTGCGTCGCCCGCTGTCACTGCTGCGTTGCTTCACTCTGTTGCGTTGCTGCTGCCGCTTGCCGCTGCAGACCTGGTCATCACACACGCGCTGGAGTGGCCCAGCCTGACGGTGCAGTGGCTGCCGGTGAGCCAGTGCCGCGGGAGCCTCGCTGCTGTCCGTAGCTGGGGGGCAGGCATGCGCGCTGCGAGGCCAGCACCTGTTTGCCTCAACACAACTTTCTCGCATGCCCCCATGCAAGTGGCTGTTGTATTGCGGTCCGTGTTGCGCCACACCCCCGTCTTGTTTCCTTGCAGCAGCCCTGCGTTGCTGCCCCTGCCGCTCACCTGGCGGCCACCCCCCGCCCTGCCCCCTCACTAGCAGCTCAAAGAGGAGAAGCCCGATGCGGGCTACTCCAAGCAGCAGCTCATCCTGGGCACGCACACCTCGGAGGGCGAGCAGAACTACCTCATGCGCGCCGAGGTGCAGCTGCCGCTGGAGGAGAGCGAGACGGATGGCAGGTGCGGCTGGGTGGGGTGGGGTGGGGTGGGTGGGATGGCTGGGCCGAGGGCAGGCATCGATGGGCGGATGATGTGCGCATGTGGCGCAGGATAGGCTGCTTCCTGCGCTGCGTGAGTGGGGGGCGAGCCGCATTGCCACCGCCAGGAAAGCTGGGGTGTGGTGGAGCGGGGCGCTCACTCCCCAGGTTCTGACTGCCTGCCTGCCTGTACCGCCCTGACCGGCTGGCGTGCAGGGGGTACGACGAGGAGCGGGGCGAGGTGGGCGGCTTTGGCTCCTCCGCCGGCCGCATCAGCATCGTGCAGCAGATCAATCACGACGGCGAGGTCAACCGCGCGCGGCACTGCCCGCAGGCACGTGCCGCCCGCGCCTGCCGCCGACGTGCTGCCCGCACAGCCAGCAGCCGCGGCGTAGCCTGCCCGTCAACTGCTGGCCCCTGCACGGCGCCACCTGGCTCCTGCTGTGGGGTCCGGCTCAGCGATTGCAGCCTGCTTTGCTGCCTCTTCCACATGCCGGCCCCGAGCGCCTCGCCCCACCACCCACCCACTGCCCTGCACCGCCCGTGCGCCTCCCGCCTGGCGCCTCCACTCAGAACCACTTCATGATTGCCACCAAGACCATCAGCGCGGAGGTGTATGTGTTTGA